AAAGCCCAGATCCAGCCAACTTAACTAGTGAATTCTACCAAATGTTTAAAGGATAGCAACTCTTCATAAACTCTTCCAGAAGATACAAGGAGGAGGAAAGTTTTCTTAGCTTGTTCTATAAGACCAGCATTACCCTGATACCCCAATCACACAAAGACATCACAAGAAAACTACAGACCAATAGTCCTCCTGAATATGAATGAAAACATTTTCCATGAAATACTATTGGTACAGAAAATGGCTTTCACAGAAAAAATAGCCATGTCTTGGGTAATTGTGAAATGTGATCACCCCCACCACACTTATACTAGCAGAAAGAAAAACATAGAGTCAAAAACCTAGGCCTCGGTACAGGCCATACAGAGCCACCTAGGGGGAAAGTGTGGAAGAAGATAGAAGAAAAATAAAAACAGAAAAAAGGATACCTGGTGGCCCTATGAATCCTGGGTTTCCTGGATATCCTTTCTGACCAGGTGGTCCCCGCTCGCCTCGATGACCCGGCATTCCTGGTGGTCCACGTTCTCCAGGAAGTCCTGACCTATCCAAGCCTGGAATCCCCGGGTCTCCCTTTGGCCCTATTGCACCTCTTCTGCCTATATATAGACAAATGGACAAGGAGGTAAACAAATGAATTAACACACAAGTGCTTTCCCCCACCAACTCCAGGAGTATTCTATGGCTGTAGATATTTAGATGTATGATTTTGAGCAAACTGCATGCTTATTGTATATGTGTGCACGTGTGTTTGTTTATTTATTTATTCAATGCCCCCGTCTCTAGACTTTCTGAGATCCTTTTTGCCTCTAACATTCTCTGTTTCAATGATTCAGGCAAGTAATTTAAGTATAGTATTTAATCTATTTCTTGGTCCTGCAGGCACATTCTGGGACTATACTTTTTTGACTGAGGCTCAGTTTTTAACCTGAAGAAGACACACAGAGCCTCTCAGTTGGAGGTGAGCCTCTAGATGCTTCTGGAAACAATAATTATGCTGCTGTAACAATCAACGTTTTGGTCAAAAATGTGTGAATATACGAGCAGTGTAATAGCCCACAGACACTAACTGAATTTTAAACAATTTTTCCAGAAACAGTTCATTAGATCTGGTTGAGAGGATCAAAAATGATAGAGTAAGTTTCCCATTGTCTGAAACACCCAGCTTACATCATAAAGATTTATTCTCATGTCCTTGATTTCATGTTGCGTGTAAAGCAATCAAGTAAAATTTTCATTTATAACTTTTTTGACTGCTATCTTTGCATACTTTTACTCCATTTTAATAACAAGGATAAAATTATACTTTAATATACTTACAAAAGCATTAAAGGTAAAATGTTTTCTGAGAGTTTGTATGTACATAAATATGTGTAAATACACATCTTCACTTCTCTTGCTCTCTCTCTCTGTGTCTCTCTCTATATCTAATCTATCTTCAGTGTTCCTACTTTCTTGCAAAAAGACACAAACCAATTGAATATTTTAACTTCTTCTGTAGGTGGCACACACTGCCATGTGCAACAAACCTATGACAGCAAGGTTTACATTTCTGAAATAACATTTCCTTGAACAACGGTCAGGACGTATTGCTGTACAGTCCCTTGGTGAGCAGCAGAGTGCAGAGCAGGAGGCCCCAGTCACCTGCTGCTCAGCTGGTGACTAGCTCAAGGCCTCTCCTACCTTCTTGCCCTTTCAATCCATTTAATCCTGGAAGTCCTGGGGCTCCCCTGGGGCCATCTCTGCACCTTCCTGGGGGTCCTTTTTCTCCAGGTGGTCCAGGTTGCCCTGGATCTCCTGCAAGGAAAGGCCAAGTACATATTCAGCTGCCCAAACTCAAGGTCCAGGTACTGCTATACTGATCAACCTTCTGTAACATTTACCCCCTAAATCAGACCTATATTTAATACTATTAATATGCCTTTTGTAGAGGGCACTTGTGAAAAAGGAAAGAAGGAAGGGAGAGAGAAAGAGGAAAGAAAGGTTGAGCAGCAACAGAGAATGGGCAGTCAGGCCTGGGAGAGTCTACTGCTGAACTAGCAGTTCATTTGAGAAGAATTCTCCAGCCCTAGAGCACCTGCACATTCACTTTGCTGCATTTTAGCTGAGCTGACAGTGGAGAGAAGTAATCCCACTTGCTACTGTACCTCGTGGTCCATCAAGCCCTTCCTTTCCTGGAATTCCAGGGAGACCTGGAAGTCCAGGGAGTCCCATTTCTCCATTTTCCCCAGCATTGCCTCTTTCTCCTGGAAAACCCGGTGGTCCTGGCTCTCCGGGCATGCCTAGTGCTGGTTCTCCCTATAGCACAGAAATTATGTTAGTTTTACTACATAATGCTTCCAAATCCTCACCGGTAGTGACTGGACTTTAGGACAGCTTATTTCAAAATAATCTCCCTGTTAGGAAGGTTCTCGGTTCCTTTTGCACAGACACTACCAGGCCATCAACTTTCCCCTTTTTCAACTCTAGCTGCTGACTTTTCTAGAAAATTATCCTCAATAATGCTTTGGGGTCTGGAGCCTCCATTTTTTTTTTCCCAGAAGACTATGGAATTGTCTGTAAACAGAAAAATTTAGATATCTTTACTTTTGATAGCTTCTCTCATAGCTACTCATATTTCTTTCTCCCATTTGAAATACCCTGAGTGTTTCTGAAGCCATTAAGGAGAAAAGAGTTGCAACCCTGTTTTCTAACACCTTCTATTTTCCTTTCTAAAAGGGAGGGTGCTCTAGAGAAACTTTTAAAAAATACTTCATATCTTCATAAACTACAAAGACATAGATAATTTCTACACCCAGAGTATTTGGCCTGGTGGGGGCATCCTAGCTGACCAATTATGGCTACTCCTTCTCTCCCCTGTGACAGTTCGGGTTTTACTTTTTGCAGACCTTGGGTCCTGGGAGTCCTGGCTCTCCAGGTAACCCGGGCTCTCCTATTTTTCCGGGACAACCTGGTGATCCTTTCGTTCCTGGGAAACCTTGGTCTCCTACAGAGAAAAGACAAATATGACAGGATTATTTATTTATTTATTTATTTTGAGAAAGAGTCTCAAGCTGTCACCCTGGCTAGAGAGCTGTGGCATCACAGCTCACAGCAACCTTAAACTCTTGGGCTTAAGCGACTCTCTTGTTTCAGCCTCCCAAGTAGCTGGGACTACACCTGGCTACTTTTTGGCTGTAGTCATTCTTGTTGTTTGGTAGGCCTGGGCTGGATTTGAACCCACCAGCTCTGGTATACGTGGCTGGCACCCTAGCCTCTTGAGCTATAGGCGCCGAAGTTGCAAGATTAATCTTATTGGAAGATCTTGACCAGTAAATCTTTTATGTCTCCGCCAACTAGAGACATTTTTATGAAAGTCTGAATGATGAGACAGTCAACTGATAAAATGGAAATTAAAAATATCAATTCCAAGTCAGTGTACATTGGTCCCAACTGAGAGAATGGCTCCCTCCATGTCTGTGGTTTAGCACAGCTGTCATTTTGGTTCAGCAATTTTGCAAGCCACGAATGCTGGTTGATCCTCTGA